CATGGTATTTAGCTGATTCTTTGCTAAATTGATCTGGATCAAGTTGTTGAGGCCTTTCAGACTGACCTCAGTTACTGCATCATCCTGTAGCTTGTTGCCTTGCAGATCCAGCAAGGTGAGATGGTCCATTCCAGAGAAAACACCGGGTGGGATATTTGAGATTCTGTTTCGGGAGAGCCGTAACTGCTCTAATTTGGCAGGCAGAGAAGATGGAATGGAAGAAAGCAAATTGTCTTCCATGTAGAGGTGTACAAGGTTAGACATAGCCTTTAGAACATCTGCCTCCAGGCCTTCGCTTGTGATTTTGTTACGGTTCAGGTTGATCCACCTTAGTTGTGTGGCATTGCGCAGAGCGTTAGCTGACAGGACATCGATCAGGTTGTTCTGGAGGTACAGGTACCACGTGTAGGGAGGGATGACAGGTATGCGTTTCAGACCCTTATTGTCACAGTAAACAGCATTAGGGAAACTTGGAGGGCAGCGGCACTCTTTAGGACATGCCTGGATCTGAGACATAAGGTGCTCATACGGAATTTCTTCAGAGCTGACTTGGCCGGCCAGAAGTAGGGCTACAAATGCAACCATGAGCCACTCCATGGTTAGGTTTAACCTGAAAAATGATAGAAACAGAGAAGAAACAAAAACAGCTGTTAACAATATTGAAACCATATAACTCTTAGAGATAAAGAGTTGTCACAGGGCCTGGAACAATGTTTGTCCCCCATACTAAGAATATCTATAGATCCACTCTACATTACCTCAGGTTCTCTGAATGGATAAACTCATTGACAAAAAATTAGGAACATCCTCTAGTTAAGATTATCTTTCCCTGTGTCTTCATCTTCTAAGTAGTAATCCACTTAAACTCAGAATATGCTGCCAGGTCAACTTTAATTGACTTTAGACCTTTTTCATCTCCATTCAGATGTTACATCTTGGACTCTGGCAAACATAAGGGTTCAGATATGTTCTATTTCTGAATACAAGAAGATATACCAAACATAGCAATGCTATCTCACAACCAATTCGTACATATTTTATGAAGTAGCTAATTCGTACGATTTCGTATGACCCCACTGGTAGGTTTAGAGGTGGGGTTAGGAGTGGTCATTCGTACAAATTCCTACAAATTGGGCACCTTGTAAAATATGTAAAAATTTTCACAAAACGTATGAATTTGTACGAGCCAGGTCATACGAATTCATACAAATTAGCCACCTTGTAAAATATGTATTAATTGCTGTGAAATCGGGTTGAACACAGCATGGTTTTTAACAAGACCTGGCCGTCATGTTACAATAGGGACACATACATAC